GTTTTTTGTGGTAAAATTAGGTGCCTCGGCTTATATTCGGGTCGGCCTATACTCGAGTATATACGGTAAATATTTTCAGGGAGAGCTTATTTTAGGGGGAGGGCTTATTTTAGCGCATGCTCTCAAAAGCCCAATTGGGCTTAATATCCTGGGATGTCTTATTTTTGGGGAAACAGGGTAATTATAGGATATATATGTTTCGTAATAGAAAGTAGGAGTGTTTGCTTAGATTGAATTACTGACTCACTTAATATAACCCTGGATAATTTGAACAAAGGTTTTTTTTTTCCTTGAACAAGATGGATATATGAAGTGTTCTAAAATAATTATGCTAAAATATTTTTGATAACTTCAGACATACAGGTTTTTTTAAAAATAACACTCCTTGTACTTTGGTGAGATCCTACTTAGGTTATCATGCGATTGAGATGTGGGCTGTTTGGATTATAATTTTAAGTATTATGGAATTAAAAACAAGTTGATGGATTAACGTACTCTGCTGCTAGTTTGTCTCTTTCTGAACGAAAAGCATTTTCTTCACTTATTAACATTTGGTATTGTGTAGTAAGAGTATCATTTTCCTCTTTGACTTTTTGATAGACTTCCTGAAGTTCTTTCAGTTTCCGGTCAATCTAAAAAAAATCCCAGAATGATTTATTTAATTAAAAAGCTTAATGGTTCTAAAAACATCATGATATTCTTATGACTTTCAAAGGATTATAAAATATGATTAAAGCAGGTCTTACCCACTGAAAAAGATATTGGTCAATAAACCATTTAAGTTTTAAATTAATCCACTTTTATATATGTACAAATTAAACATCAATACATTAAAAATACCGTATTTCTTTACAAAGGTATCTGCATCTGATGTAACATAGATGATTAAAAGGTAGTAAAACGCCCCACAACTTCAAACCTATGATGTAAATTTGACTAGGTAAGAGTGATTTAACACGCCATTATGGGCAGACTAGAACTCACAGCCTCCCATTTCTAATTCAGCAACATCAAGCTTTCTCTATCAATCATTCAAAAATTCAATCAATCAAGTAATTTTAACTCAACATCACAGCCACACGTCACAATGTTTTAGAAACATTTCAATTTAGAAATAGATTTTTAAACGTAGTTGTTTAAAAACGTTTTTCAACTGAAAGTTTTAAGTTTGTCCAATTTCTTTGATGACTCTGGGTAGTACACATTTTCATACATTAGACGTAATATTACCTATTTTCCTAATTTTACTGTTTTGGACAGTTGTACACTGAAGAAATCGGCCAATAAAAAAACAGTGTTCCAATATTTAAGGAGGGATCGGCCTATTCTCCATAGCACCTGAAGGCAGGACAAGAAGCAATGGATGGAAACTAATCAAGTAGAGAACCAACCTAGAATTTTCCTGACAGAATAATTAATTATGAAATAGCTTGTCTCCAGACTTTATGGGTGCTCCAACAATGTAAGTTTTTAAGGAGAGATTGGACAACCATTTGTTTGAAATGGTATAGGATCTCCTGTAAGGGGTTGGACTATCAATTTCCACGATCCTTTCTAATTCTGCTATTCTGTTAAATTTAGGAATTACAAAGAATGCTTGTACTAATTTTAAAAGGTAAAAACACTATCAAATTTTAAGCTAAGAATACACATTAAGAACCATGGTTAATACAGTACAAATAACTGACTAAAATTATAAGCTGTAATAAACCAAATCAATACTGAGAATCTATTTTAATTGGAACATCCCTTGAAGTTAAAATATAGATTCCTTACATAGAAAAAAACCTAATTTTGAATGAGGTACAAATCCATGTATTAAGTCATAATACAGAATAGTTTCCAGTTAAAATTGAATTCTATATCAGTTTTATTTTTAAATTATGTAATTATTCTGGACATCAAAGAATACTCCCACAATTTGTTTAGCCATCCTTCTAAGGGAGGAATCAAACAGCCTTACCACTAAGAAGCATATCAAATCTTGTCACAGTTAAGATATATGAAACTAATTTTGTAGACTTTGAAAGGATATATGGTTTAATAAAATTCAGTAAAAATAAATTTAAAATCAGTTTCATTCTGATATGTTGAATAATTGTTAGCATGACATTATTAGCAGATAATTTCATTATTAATTTTATTCCTGTCATTTTATTTGACATAGTTTGACTATCCATGTTTGTAAAGCCACTAAAAATAAATATCTCATTATGTAGTTGATATGGGAGTGAAAGTATCAATGCATATTTTAATTTGAAAGGAGCAAGAAAAATATTGATTTTTATGGGAAAAAATAATTTGATTATAGAATTAATTTTCTTGGCTGAAATCAGTCACTTTTTGGTTTTCTTGAAGGGTATTGAGAATCAATCTCACTACAAAAAGCCAAAATAGCAACAGCAATGTAACAAAGCATCTAATGCAAACGATTCAAACTGATGGAGCAAGGCTTAGGATTAGGGTTTGGAGTATATTGGAAATTTTACAGATAGTTTTGTTCCTATCCATAATCCTAACCCTAACTCTTTCAAAATGGTTGCATTGATGGGTAGGCCAATCACAAAAGAAAATGCAAACTGAGTTGTTCTTTATCCCTAACTAGCTGATAACCCGGCGTTGCTCGGATATTTATTTATAGGGGGGAAATGTCCAGACCAAACGTAATTTCTAATGTTGGATTTTCCCATTTACTAGAGGGAGCTCCTTTATGGAGTACCGTGAAGCCGTTACCATGGCAACTCCACTGCACTGTACAGTAGAAGCCATTTTATGGCTGTACAGTAGAAGCCATTTTAAAGCACAACAAGGTGTATCTTAACAGAACACACACCCTGAGAGATGTTAGGGGTGTGCTACCCCCACAGGATTTGTTTCCAGAAAGTAAGTCATCTGTGTACCAAGTTTGGTTGAAATTGCTCAAGGTGTTCCAGAGTTATGCTGGAACACAGACAGACAGACAGACAGACAGACANTTTTTGGGGGGGCATTCCCCAGGATCATTCTGCAAGCCTCTTAAAGACTATTCATGCCTTTTGGGGGGGGGGGAACCAGGGCCATTTTTGGGATGTTTGCAGAGTGCAAAAACTTTTTTTTTTAAAAAAAAAATTGCCTCTTCAAAACCTTGGTGCATCTTATACTCCAAAAAATATAGTAGGTGTTACTAAGAAAAGTGCTGAAGAGCTGCTTGAGAGACATAGGAGCAATAGATAGCCCACCTCTGATTTAGAATAATCAGGAAATATAAGTTTTATTCTTCATATACATATACTGTCTGCCTAATTTGTCAGCTGTCTGACTAAAGTCCTTCATGGTAAATGCAACTGTTCATTAACTGGTAGCAATGAGATATCCAAAGTTGGATCCTTAGATAAATGGATAGAATGTAGAATATCTTTCTTTTTCAATAAAAATTTTAAATCTCATTTTATCTGCAGCAATATATAATGATGCAATATGTGTGATATAATACAGTGTTGTTTTGCATTTTTCATACTTACAACCAACCAGCAATTTTTAAAAAAAAAGCAATTAAGAATCAAATGTATATTTCCTGATTTCAAGTAAAAGAAGAATGTATATTTTATCTGGAACCCCTTGCACACAATCTTGTAAACTGAACATTTATTTCACCTACATGAAACTAAATTATACTTTTGCCTGAACTTTCATCTAGTTTTATAACAACTTGGTTTGCAAATCTCTACCCTTAGTTACAGTATATCAGTTCTTGTTACAGTGTTACAAAATCACTTTTCAGCAAGATATTTTGTAAATATGAAATAACTTACTCATATATATCCTGCATGTCATCCATCTCCTCCTGTGCACTTTTTGTTTCTATCACACGCTTTGCCACATAGTCAAGCTTTTCTGTGAGCCAATTGGATAACTTTTCAAATCTGTTTGAAAAAGTGAGACAATTAAATATTTATATAACACACAAACACATATATAATTTTTTAAATGTTTACATTTTATTAAACAAATGGCTAGCCAATCATGAAAATGTACTTTTCTAGGGTAGCTTTCCGATGTATAGATAAAAACTGAGATTAAGAAAAGAATTATTCCAATAAAAATATTTAAAATCTGAGAGAACAGAGGCTAATTTGTTCATACAATAGGAACAGGTAAAAGGAAGGGTTTTTCTCATATTTTTTATTAACTAATTACAAAATGACAAGGCCACAGGGTACAGAATGTCAAAATCATGATTTTCTATTATACTTGTTCAGGTAGCCTAGCATAGATTTCCATGAAGGATCCTTTTTCCAATTCATAGAATGTTTTCAAGTACATACCATATTTTTTTTGAATATAAGACGCACAGGAGTATAAGACGCACCAAGGTTTTGAAGAGGCAAATAAAATCAAATAAAAATTTGCACTCTGTAACCCTCCCAAAAACGGGCCGTTTTTCACAAAAACAGGACTTTTTTTTAAAGGGCATGGATAGCCTTTAGGAGGTTTGTAAGTGCTCCTGGGGGCCTGTGGGTGCAAAACTGAGCAAAAAAATAGACCATTTTTGCTCATTTCTGTCCTCCTTAGCCCCAGGAGCTTTCTGAAAGCCTTCATAAGGCTATGCATGGTCATTTTGGTGAAGGGGCTGGGGTTTCGGGAGGCAACAAATGCTGTATTCAGTGTATAAGACGCACCCAGATTTTCAGCCTCTTTTTTGAGGGGAAAAGGTGTGTCTTATACTCCGAAAAATACGGTATTATTACATGGAAGAAGGACTCAGATGAAATCATTTAGCAGTTGTACTACCAGTTCCTACTGGAGACAGTTATTGTTGTTCGGACTCAACAACTCTGCCTTCAGGGCCATCTTTAACTAACAGTTTGATTAACAAAATTCAACAGTTAGAACACATTAACTTGGAATTACCAGTAGCCCATTTTGAAAAAAAATATTATGGAGAACAGAGTTTTCTTCTGGGAATCAATTTCCATGTAAAAACTATTTAAACGGTAAAGATTGCCCATAATCACATGGGATAATCCAAGTATCTTCTAGATTACTATATGAAAGTAGCTTGCCACTGGCTTCTTCCAGGATGTCCTTTGGCATTCCAATTTAGCTTACAGACCTGGAATTTCGTGAATATCCTATCAAATATTAACCAGGTTTGATTCTTAGCTTTTTGGAATCAGCCAACATTAACAAGATACTGTTGCTGGTTGAATGTTAAGTATAGTTAGCAATGACAACAGAACTTACCATATTTTTCAGACTATAAGACGCTCTGAAGTATAAGACACACCTAGATTTTGGGGAAGAAACAAGAAAAAAAATCTGCCTCTGCCTCCCAGCACTTTGCCTCCTTGCAGCAAACAGCAAACAGTGTGGTCATCTTCAGCACAGCCTAATTTAACATGAGCAGCTGATTGGCGGTTGGATCAGCCTCTTGGAATATCTCCTATCAGCTGTTCCAGGCTGGGAGATCGCCGGTGCCTATCCCCGCTGCCTGGAATGGGCTGAAAATGGGATGGGCGGAGCCCAAAAATGAAACTCATGGAAGTGTGTCTTATACTCCAAAAAATATGGTATATACAGTTCCAAAGTACTTTACAGCATTCTCTGGGTGGTTCATGTCAGCATATCGCTCCCAACAATCTGGGTCTCATTTTACTGACCTTGATAGGAAGGAAGGCTGAGTCAACTTTGAGCTGGTTGGAGGAGGGCCTTCTCTGTGGCTGCCCCGGCCCTTTGGAACGAGCTCCCCGTGGAGATTCNTTCTTAATATTATATTGTTGTTAGTTGTGAAGTTGTGTCCAACCCATCGTGACCCCATGGACAACATTCCTCCAGGCCTTTCTGTCCTCTACCATCATCTGGAGTCCATTTAAGCTCACGCCTCCCACTTCAGTGACTCCATCCAGCCACCTCATTCTCTGTCGTCCCCTTCTTCTTTTGCCCTTAATCGTTTCCAGCATTAGGCTCTTCTCCAGTGAGTCCTTGCTTCTCATTAGTTTCATCTTCAGGACCTGGCCTCCTAAAGAGCAGTCAGGGTTGATCTCCTCTAGGACTGATGGGTTTGATCGCCTTCTTAATATTATAGATGAGCTAAATCTTGTTGCAAGATGTAATTATAGGAATTTTAGGGGGGAAAGCTGACAAATTCACTCTGGATGAATCTATCAGTGATAGTTAGTTATGATCGCAGGATACTACTGAAGAATCAAAGGCAGCAGCTTCTGAATACCTGCTGGTGGGAAACTGAGGGAAATTTATTACCCCCATATCCTGTTTATATGCTTCTCACAGCATTACTGTACGAATTCATAAAAATGTAAATCTAACAACAGGTTGACTGTAAACAAATCCTTTGGCTTCTGGAAAAAAACAGGGTCAAAACACAAGCCCCCTTACATCTTTTGCAGCCTAAAGTGACAAATGGAAATATGCAACATCTTCAAATTAAATAAACTCATCTGATATTAGGGAAATACTAGACATTACATTCATCCTAGATTTGCCATTAACCAGAAGTACCTTGAAGGCTTTTATAAAAAACAGAAAATGTAACATTTAAACAGTTGAGTTCTACTTCATGCTCAGCGCAGAAATCCAAATTAATTAATTGATTAACTACTCTTATGTGATATGATAATCTCTAAAGCAGATAAAAGTATTAGCATGTCTCCCTACCAGTCATCTCTTATCAAAGACTCATATATCCAGTACTTCAGAGATGGGTTTCTGCCGGTTCTCCCCAGATCGGGCGAACAAGTAGTGGCAGTGGCGGGAGGTTCTGCCACCCACCTGAATGCTTCTGTGCATGAGCAGAAGTGTTGCGCAAGCGTGTGCACAAGCGAACTGGTAATAAAATAAATTGAAACCCACCACTGCAGTACTTTACATCTTTCTTCATAGGACATATGTTTCTAAACTGTTAATCATACTCATGATTATTCTTTAGGCATGTTCCAAATTCTCTGAATACTATAAGTGTTGTGCTAAATATATAATTTGAAATGGTGTCCGTCTGACCAAAGCTGAATGAAAAGGATCAATGACTTCCCATTAGTTGAAAATTATACATGGTCCTGCCCAGGGATGGGTTTCAAATTTTTTACTACCTATTCTATGGGAGTGACCTATTTTGTGGGCGTGGCTTGGTGGACATGTGACTGGGTAGCCAACTTGTAGAATGTAGTGAAGCTCACTTAACAATGCTCTTGCTTAGCAACCAAAATTTTGGGCTCAATTGTAGTCATAAGTCAAGAAATGTCTCTGCCTTCCTCTGCAGGGCAGCTTTGTCCTAGTGAACTCCTTCTCCTTTCCGGCTATTTTCCTCTCTGTTAGAGGCACCAAAATAATCCAGACCAAGTAAGGTTTCCTGTTGCAGCAGGGGGTTGGCCTAGATGACCTTAGAGTAGACTTCTAGCCCTAAATTGCCGTACTATCTTTCTTTCATTCCTTCTTTCTCCCTTCCCGCTGTGGGAAGCAATCCCCCCCCCCCAAATAAAAGCTCATAAGGCTCCCAGAAAAGAAAAAATCAAGCTGCTAACAAAGAAACCTGCCAGAGGCTCATTCAACATTCCTACCAGATAGAGATAATGAGATAATGAGCCTATATAAAGCTCCACTTCCTGTGGTGATGTCATCATGCTTGGAGCTGAGGATCGGGAGTTCTCCTAACCTTTAACTCTAACTTCTTCGTTTGGGCTCATTTCTGAGCGCTGTGGATCCTGAAGGGACCAGCAGTTTAAGGGGGAAACTCTGAAGATGCTGGAGTGCTAAGGCAAATCCCCCAGCGGGTAGGAGAAACCCACTAAATGGACGAGGATTTATCCTGCCACTTGGTCAGGACCGGAGCGATGGCGACTGCATAAGAAGGAAGCAGAGGGAGAAAGCAGTTGAAATTGAGACATCTGTTACTATTATTGACAACCCAAAGAAGAAGAGGACAACGCAAAATTGGCAGAGAGGGTGAGCTGGAAAGAAAGAGGCTCTGGGAAGGATTCTGTTTTTGCAGTTCAGATTTTTGCTGAAAAGCAGTGAGAGCATAGACACTGAGTTGGAATTGACAGCCTGAATAACTTGAAGGAAAGTGGTCACAGTGAGAATGAAAACCCGGCATGGACAACAGGAGTAGAACATAGTTAACTACTGAGAAGACTTGGAAAGCACAGAAAGGATTGTTTAACAGTCGAGTTGGTTGTTGACTTTTTTCTTCTTGCTCTTCCTTCTACTGTTTTGTTTTTCCCAAAGAATAGTTGAACTTACAAGTATATGGTATTTATTCTCCTCGGAACTTGGTACGGTACCAGAGACAGTAGAGAGAGAACTGTTTTGGAACTATTAAAGGGCGTCTTTACCCACCCCCCTTTATTTTCCTTTGCCGTTGGACTTGTTGTATTAACTGATTGACACTAACAGTGATACTGAGGAGAGGGTGACATCTAGTGGATTATAAATTTGAACCATGAAGTCTGATGCAAGAAAACCAACGGTGACATAAGCTGATATATATACATAGAGAGAAACTAATTACTAGAATTAAATACCTGCATAACTGATACAATTGAGAGACATCTATTTGTATAACAGTGTGATATATAACTCTATGATATATAATAATTAAGGATCAAAAACAGAATAGAATAATACATAGGAATGTTTAGATATTGAAACGTGATATTAAGGAAGGTTAATTATTGTTAAATATTGAGATATATAATTATTGATACCATTGATATTGCTGATAAAGTAGAAGTAAAGTAGAATTTATATGCAATTGTGGGCAAGGATAAATAGGGGGATTAAAATGGCAAATGGAGTGGGAATGTTTAACGAAGTTTTAGGAAAAGCCAAGATACCTGAATCATGGATGGAAGCAATAATATCGCTAATCCCAAAAGAAGGAACCAACCTACAAGAAATTCAAAATTACAGGCCAATTTC